TTGAAAAAAACATTATCTTACTTAGTTCTTATAATGATACTTCATGGTAGGTAGACAGGTATAGCAAGATAAAGCAACTTGCCTGAAATCGTATTGTTTTGGGGGAATAGGGCTTTGATCTCTTAATTCTGAATGTCATGTTTTTTCCCCCGAAAACTATGCTGTCTTCCTTAAATGCAAACACATAATGATGTTGAAATAGAATTGAATGTTATTTTGCCTCCCGTGGCTAAAATCATCTAGATAATTTAGGTTTAAAATGATAATAGTGAAAGTGATTTAGTTTGATCTGTACATGGAGAGCTCCAATTTGATTTTGTCTTAAAATTTAGAGTTCAGCACCTTCATTTTAAAATTGAAGAAACAGACCAAGAAAGGTGCAGTGACAGAACTGGAAGCTTCATACTGGGGCTGGGAGTGGGGAGGCTATAGGAGAATTGAGGAAGGCTAATTGCTTAAAGGCAAACCAGGTCTGATTCTGAATGAGATCCATTTTTTTGGAAAGGTCCCCTTCCAGTGACTAATGTGAAGGAATAACTTTGGGTTGCAGGAATTGAAGAGGAGATGGAAGAAAAAAAAAGAGGAAGGAAGAGACAGAGAAAGTGACAGTGGTTGATAATCAAATAATCAACTTGGCTTTCGTACAGCTTTTAAGAGTTTGCAAATCAAATCGCTTCACATGCACTATCTCATCTGCTGTTCTTAACAATTCCATGATGTGGAAATTGAAGGTATTATCATGTCCATTTTATAGATGAAACTAAGGTGTAGAGATCAAATGTTCTTCCCAGAGGCATAATGAATGAAAAGAGAGCTAACTGCAGAAGTTATGAGGGATGTGGCCAATTTTTTCATGTGTTTCAATTGCCAAATGAGTGATATGGCCAATAAAGGAAACACCATTTTCCTCAGCACCTTCTCTTTTCCTCCCCTCCTCCCGTTTTCAAGCTCTGGGGCAAAGCCCCGATTCATTCCCTACTGATAAACTTCTGCCTGTTACCTAATGGGAATATTACTAGAGTCAATAAAATTATAAAAATTGAATTCTAGACACATCAGGGATGAAGAGGTAGCCTAGTTCTTGGTCCTACAATGTCACAGACCCACTGAAAAGACTGTCAAGATGAATTGTTTTGTGTATATATTCCTTATATGAGCAAGTGTTTTCTGGACACGCGGTTCTTCAGTCTATTTGGATTCCAGCTTCTCTTCCTCCTCCTCCTCCTTCTAGAAAAGGTTGGGAGATAGGAGACTAGGAGGAGTGATAGAGTGAGTCATAGAGTTAGAAGAGACCTTAGACTTCATTTAGTACAACCTCCCCTCCCCCCATTTTACAGCTGAAGACAGGCCCAGAGAGGTTAAACAACTTGTTCCAGGTCCTATTAGTATTGACAGAGATTATATGAGATGAGATTAGATTATGCCTATTAGATTAGAGATTATATCTATAGGTAGCCAAGCAAGCAGTCCAAGTAGGCAGGGCCATGGGGAAATACCACTTAAAACTTTCAATATTTCTGAATGAATTTCTCAAAGAAATGTTTCTCAGAGTATATTTTCCTCCTTTAGGGACTCACAGCAGAAAGAGCACTAGACTTGGTACTAAATATAGGCCCAAATCCTAGCCCTGCCACTAACTGGTTATATGGCCAGTAAGATATTTAATTTGGGCCTCAGTTTCCTTAACTGTCTAAATTACAAATAATAGCATTATTTCTTATTTCAAAGTAGTATCTACTTTCAAAGTACTTCAAAGAGTAGTTGTGACGATCAATAAAATAATGTTTGTAAAACTTCGCAAATTGTAAATTATTCCATATAACAATTGTCATGTGCCCCCTAGGTGGCACAATAGAGTACTCAATTTGAAGTCAGAAAGACTTGAATTCAAATCCAGCTGTAGATACTAACTGTGTAACCTGGCCAAGTCACTTAACTTCTCTCTGCCTCAGTTTCCTTAACTGTAAAATGGGGGTAATAATATAGCACCTACCTCAGAGGGTTGTTATGAGAATCAAATGAGAAAATATTTGTAAAGCACTTAATGAATGCTTGTTCACTTCCCTCACTCATTTATTATTAGTGATTCTCTTAAAGGATAGATCTGACCATGTCACCCTCCCCATTAAAAAAACTTCAGTTGCTACCCATCACCCCTAGGTTCAAATATAAAATCATCTGTTTGGCATTCAAAACCCTTCATAACCTGGCCACCCCCACCTTTCCAGTCTTCTTACATCTTAGCCCTATCTCCCCTCACCTCCAATGTACTTTTCAGTCCAATGACACTGGTCCCTTTGCTGTTTCTCAAACAAGAAACTCCATTTCCCAACTGGATATGTTTTCACTGGCTGTCCCCCATGCCTGTAATGCTCTCCCTCCTCATCCCTGCCTCTTGGCTTCTCTAGATTCCTTCAAGTCCCAGCTAAAATCCCACCTTCTCCAGGAAGCCTTTTTTAATTCCCTGTAATTCTAGTGCCTCTCTTCGGTTGAATATTTGCAATTTATCATATATATATACATACATATATATGTTTATATATAATATATATATGTCTTGTTTGTACATAGTTGTTTGCATGTTGTCTCCACTATTAGACTGTTAACTCCTTAAGAACATGGACTGTCTTTTGCCTTTCTTTATATCCCTAAAACTTAGCATAGTTCCTGGAAAATAGTAGATACTTAATAAAAGTTTATTGACTGGATGACTATTATTATATAAATTCCATTTTATCACATACTTGTCTATAACCAGATAAATGCATTTCTTGGAACTACTTTTTGGGGGGGCGGGGCTTAACTTGAAGAATGCTAGTAAATGTAAGAGACGGAGTTTAAATACCTCTACTCTTTGACACTAAATCCAGTATCCTTACCCCACTATACCAGGTTAAAAAGAAAAAATGGAAGTCCCTTTTCCTATTAGCACATATATTTAGAAGTGATCAGGAAAAAAAAACAACTTTCATTCCTTTACACTTTCCAACTTTTTAAAAAATTGCAAAAAAGCCAGTGGAATTTAATGACTGCATGTTTATGACTTAATTGCTTATTGCTTATTGTGACTTAAGAATCAACAGACAGAGCAGTTGTTTCAGTTCTGTTGTCTTCAGCTTCAACTGGTCTTCTCAGTCATCAGAGGCATGCTTTGTTCTTGCCATGTGTGAAAACGTTGATTCACAGCAGGGCTTACACTGCACGAGACCCATCTGAAACAGACAGAGGTGCAGTTCTTCTGAGTTTTGTATAACAGCTGCCACTACTGTGGTGAGAATGAAAAAAAAATTACGTAAAATCCCAGAAAAATCAGAACCATTTACCTGATTAGCGCAGTGAGTGGTACATAATAAGTACTTAATAAATGCTTCTTGCCTTACCTTGATTATAAGCATATTATGATATATAATTCTTGAACTACTTCTGAGAATTTGGAAGAAAGTGTTTTGTAAACCTTCAAATATTATCAAAATGGAGATTACTATGTTGTCATTATTTTGTTCACATGTTGTTAAAATGGAAAACTAGTTTTGTGCTTGTTTGGATAAGTGTGGGAAAAGGCCTAGCATAGTGTTTCTCATATATTATGCTCTTAATAAATGATTGTTGAATAAACTGAAGAGAGGGTACAGGCACAGGGCAGAGCACCAAAAGCTGGGCATATTTCACTCTTGCATTTTGGATTAACTCAATAATCATCTGGACAGAATCTATAACTTCCTTAGAAATATAGAGAACCCTTAACACAGAGATTCTTTTTTTCAATTTTTTATTTTTAGGCAATTGGGGTTAAATTACTTGCTCAGGGTCACACAGCTAGTAAGTGTCAAGTGTTTGGTCTGACAGTGGATTTGAACTCAGGTCCTCCTGACTTCAAGGCAGGTGCTGTACCCACTGTGCCACCTCGCGCCCTCTAACACAGAGGTTCTTAACCTGGGTTCAGAGACTCCTAAGGAGCCAGTGGAAACATTTCTGATTGAACTATGACCTTTTAATATCTTGATAATTTTATTTCCACTGGTTTTCTTTGTGATCCTATGTACTTTATCTTATGCATTTAAAAACATTATCTGGAGGAGTCTATAGGCTTCCCTAGACTGCCAGAGGAGTTCATGACACGAGGATGATTAAGAACTCCTGCACTAACCATAGTCTGTGCCTCTGCTTTATCCCTAGCTGAACCTGTTACCTGTTACCTGCTTTATCCCTAGCTGAACCTGTTAGATGACTAACCTTAAAGGTTTCAAGAGCCTTTTGAAATTGTCAGTGCCTTATGGAAGCACAAGGTATGTCCTGGGAGAAATAGGTGAACAAAGAAATCTGCTTTTCTTAGCTCTGGAATTCTATCTATGACACTATGCTCCAAAATTTCAAACAAAAGAGGCTTTACCTTAGGTTAAATACCAGAGCATCATGTTAGCAAGGAAGAGTGCAGGTTCAATGACTGAATTCTCTAAACTTGGGGATCAGCATGGCGTGGAGGACAGAGTATTGGACCTGGATCCAGAAGACCTGGATCTGAATCTCATCACGTCAACTATCTGGGCCTCAGTTTCCTTACCTTTAAAGAGAGGTTGGATTAAATGATAGCAAAAGTTGCTATGAACAGTGTAACCAGCTGACTCTCGGGGTGTGTGTGTGTGTGTGTGTGTGTGTGTGTGTGTGTGCTTCCGGCAGCTGTCTTTGCTCAGACCCCCCGGAGCCCCCGCCCCCTTTCCCAGGCTCACTGTGCAGGAGAAGCACCGGGCCTCCAGTTACCAGTGTTCGCCCTCCCACTCTCCCAACTCTGTTGCCCTAGTCCGTGCAAGCCCGCCTAGTCCCGGAGGCAGCTGTCCTGGCAAGCTGGGAGGCGGCCGCGGGTGCCCCTGACTTTAAGACTGGCTGAGGCTTCAACCCATCTTTTCGGGAGGGGGAGGTGAGGGTGGAAAGGGTGTGTGTTTGTGGTGGGGTTGGGTAGGGAGGGACAGAGAGAGGGGGGTGGGGAGAGAGGGAAGAAAAGGAATATTTGCAGAGCGGCGAAGAAATGAACAACTTCTTCTGAAGATTTCATATGACGACTTCAGCGCCCTCCTGGGTTGATTCTGGACTTAGAGAGTCGGCACATAGCCGTCTTCTCTGGACTGGCTCTAATCACATCTGGATCCCAAGGGCATTGGTGCACAGCGGAGCCCCCTGGAGCTCCGCAGCCTCCTGCGAGGGGCAAATTCTTGCAGTCCGGGGCACTTTCCCCGCTTCCTCTGACTTTGTGCCCATCGGCTGATTTGGGTTCATGGAGCTCGGGTTGTGGTTCCTTTTTGGACTTACAGTGACCTCCACCGCAGGTAACTGGACTTAGGGCAGCTTACTCTCCTTTCCTCCTTCCCTCCCTCCCTCCCTCCAGTGCATATGCAGGGCCAGCAACCCCCAACTCCCCAATCACCTCGGGTAGCCCGGGTTCATTGCTGGGAATGGAACCTGGCTGCAGGGAGGCTGGGAGAGCGGACCCCGTGTAGAGAAGGATTCTTTTCGGTTCCCCGAGTGGCGCCGAAAACGATTTTGTTCGGTTTCAGTCTATTAGGCTAGTGCAACCCTACAGAAACTTTTCTTTGGGTGGGAGCGGAAGATCGAAAGGGAAGGGGATACATGCACAACTGCTTTCCCACCTACTCTGCAGCGGGACTCCCTGAGATCTCCTGGAGAGAACCCCTCCCCCGTGCGGCCAAACATGGGAAACTTGTCAAAAAGTCTGAGGCCCAGCGGGCAAATTGGCCAGGTTCTGGGAGCTGTCCCCACTCTGGGTCGGGGTACTTGAGGACTGGGGTGGGCTTGTTCCCTGCCAGGCAGGTGGGGGCAGAGCACTTCCTGGAGCAGGGGGTGAGGTGAGACCCCTAGGAGGGGGAGAGGCTGCTGGGAGAAAGAGGAGGTCATAGGGTAGGAACCCCTAGGGGGATAAGGTGAGGGGAGAGAGAGAAGGTAGTAGTCTGGGATGGGTTTTGGGGAGAAGGAACAGGGGGGGAGAGAGAGGGAGAGAGACAGAGACAGAGACAGAGACAGAGAGAGAGGGAGGATCCTCAGGGGATGAGAGATAGAAGAGAGTGTAGAACATAGGGTGGAATCCCCGGTCGAGGACGAAGATGTTTCTGGGAGAGAGCAGGTCGTAGTAGAGTGGCATTCTCCTCGGTGGTAGTAAAAGGTTCATTCTGAGAGCGGCTCTGAAGCTTTCTTTCTGTCCTGCAGGGTTCTTGCCTCCGACAGTGTCTCGCCTGGAGCCAGAGGCAGCTGGAGGGGGCGGGGGCCCTAGCGTTCCCGCAGCCCAGGAAAGCGATGGAGAAGAGAATGAAGCAGTGGCCGTGGTGGTCACGGAGCTGAGCCCGACTGGGGCCGGGCAGGACAAGGGCTCGCACCGGCCCAGGGAGCCCAGGAAGGCATCAGTTGGAGCAGGAGAAAGCGCTGCACGCAAGAGAGAAAAGCGCTGCACTTGCTACACTTACAAGGACAAAGAGTGCGTGTACTATTGTCACCTGGACATCATCTGGATCAATACACCCGAGTAAGCAAGTTGCCCCAGGTGGGGCTGGAGGGGAGGCAGGGACGGGGGACCGGGTTTGGAGGACGAAGTGGGCAACTTTTGAAGGTTTGGGGGCATAGACTGAGGGCCTATACTTCAAGTTCCGATATTCATGTCCCTGTGCACGCCTCTCCCAAAACCCTACCAAAAATAGTTTGAAACACAGAAACAAACAACTGCTTGCATCTTTCCCCTTGCCTAGATCTCACCAGAAGCCCTTCACTCTCTTCTATATGGGATCTCTTTCCAGGACCTGAAACACCTACCCTGAAGTCTGTCTCACCTCAGGTCCCACGTGTTGTGCCCTCCCAATAGTCCTTAGCTGTCTGGCAGGCTCACTGGGGGCCCAGAAAATACCTCCTTGCTATAGTTTGAAGCTTAGTCCCTTCCCTTATTCATTTGGGAGGCCCGGGGTAGTGGAAGAGAAATTCAATCTCCAAGTTTCTGGTCCAGTGGAAGGGTGAGACCTGCCTTCAAGTGAAATGAGACTGAGCAGGAGGGGGTTAGATACCTGATAAGTCCATCTAAGCCTCTTTTCTGAGAAAGAGGAAGTCCTGAAAGCTATCTCCTGTCCCAGAGGGCAAGTGGTGCCTTCACCACTCTTGACCCTGGGGAAGCTCAAATGGTTTTTGAATTCTTTGAAAGGCAGCCTGCCATCCAGTGCATGGAGCACAATCAGGGCTGGTGGCCTGAAAGCCAGGGAATGAATCTGAGTTAGCCAGCAAGCATTCTGGATCTCTAAGTGTGTGTTACACAATCCAAATATAATTCCATTAGAGCATCTGGACTGCCTGATATCCAGGCTAGCCACCTTTCTTCAAGAATGCTTTTGCTTATATATAATAAGATAATTGATTTAGAGTTTAGAGACTTTAGAAGTCATCTACTTCAACTTAATTTTATAGATAAAAGAAATTGAGGCCCAGAGAGGTTAATTGACTTGTCCCAGGTCACACAAATAGTAAGTAGCAGAGTCTGGATTCAAAACCATGTCCTATGAATGCATATAGTCCTTCCCCATTCTATCTTTCAGTCCCAAATAAGTCACCAAACAAGGCAGTTCCCATATGGTTCATTCATTCAACAATCATCTATTAAGTGCCTATGTGCCAGGTACTGCAGATACAAAGACAAAGGTGAAAAAAATATTTTGTTTTTAAGGAGCTTATACGCTATTGGGGAGAAACACCATATACTTAGAAAATTAAATGCAAAATAGATATAATGTAATTTCCAGGAGAAAGCCACTAGGGCCTGGGGAGAGGCATACTATGACTAATATACAGAAGTTGGAAGTTGCCAATGGTGGAATCTAAGGGTTTGTCTCAGTCTTTCTTTTCTTGGTGTTGTAGTTGAAGAAAACTGTTTTTAGAATCAGAAGTCTTGGCTTTAAGCCCCAGCTCTGTGTGATTGGTAAATCTTTTGACTTCTCTGGGTTTTAGAGTCCTCTTCTGTAAAATGAGGAGGTTAGAACTGATTAACTCCGAGATTTTGCCAAGCACTAACATTTTATGATTCTGTTTTTCTCTTCAACATTCATTGCGTTTTCTTAGAGTCCCTGGCTATTGAAGAGCTAGCTGGATTGCCTCCTATATGTCTTTCATGTTTAGCATGGGGAGATTTTATGTCTGGGAAACCCTGTTTATTGTTCTACAATTCATATTTGCTTATTGTTCATAATATAATATACCAGGCCACAAGCATTATTAATCAGCTCATTTTGTAGATAAGAAAACTAAGGCATGAAGATTCGCAGGTGGCCTAGTCTTCCTGTTCGTTCTCTAGCTTTGAGAGTAACTACTATGCTACACTATCTTCTCTATGTAAAAGCTATGGGAAAAGGGGCAGTCGTGAGTCTAATGCCTTCACCTCACTGGCTCTCCTCTTAATGTGTGTGTTTGTGTGTGTGTGTGTGTGTGTGTGTGTGTATTGGTGGGGATGGAAGTACCTAGCATTCAAGTTCAGTTTTGCAAAATATGCTTGCCTGAATACAAGAGGGTTTACCTGAGTCTCCTTGGGACTTTTTTTTTTCCCTCTGTACAGCTAATTATCTTTGGAATCCCACCTTCTGCAAGAAACCATTCCTGTTCCCTCTTAATTCCAGTGCCTTCCCTCTAAGATTATCTCCAATTCATGCTGTATCTATCTGATTCGAACATAGTTATTTGCACATCATCCATATATATTTGTTTGCAATCATCTCCCTCGTTAGATTATAAGCTCCTTGAAGGCAATCAGGGATTGTTTTTATGTTTCTTTGTAGGCCAATATATAGCACAGTACCTGGTACATAATAGAAACTTAATAAATGTTTGCTATGGACTTGACTTAATGATACTCCTACTCCTACTCCTATGGCAGAATGGCATAATGCATAGAAGACAGGATTGTGAGTCAAAAGGACCTGGGATTCAAGTCCTGCCTATTATAACTTTAAGCTGTATGATCATGGGCAAATGCCTCATGCAACTCTCAGATACTGTAAGTGATAGCTAAGTTGTTGATCCCTAACAGTGGAACTCTTTACCTGTAATTAGAGATTGTTTTTACCTTTTTTTTGTATTCCCAGTGCTTAGCACAGTGACTGGCACATAGGAGGAACTTAATAAATGCTTATTATTAAAGACTTAATGATTATACTACTACTACTACTACTGGTACTACTACTACTACTACTACTACTACTACTACTACTACTACTACTACTACTATTACTACTACTATGAGGGCAAAATGGCAGAATGATTAAAGGGCTAGATTTGGAGTCAGAAAGACCTGAGTTCAAGTCTTGTATATGATACATTTGAGTTGTGTGACCATGGGCAAGTTATGTGACCAAGTGGTCCATGCAACTGAACTTATAGACAAGTTGCCAATTTATATCAGTATAATTCTATAGCTAGGATTCCCTACATGATGAAATCAAAGGTCTAGAACACCATCCCCACCAAACACTCCCAATATTCTCACTGTGGTGTGAAGGTGATTCTCTTTTTTTTTTTTCTTTTTTTTTGCTAGGCAATGGGGTTAAGTGACTTGCTCAGGGTCACACAGCTAGTGCGTGTTATGTGTCTGAGGCTGGATTTGAACTCAGGTTCTCCTGACTTCAGGGCTGGCGCTCTATCCACTGCGCCACCTAGCTGCCCCCGTGAAGGTGATTCTCTTGAGTCTATGTTAGTGGAGCATAAGTTCTTACAAGTTCTACCAAGCTGAAGTATGGGCCTAATAATGGACTTTGTATCTTTTGTCCAAAAAGTGACAAGAGGCTCATTACCAGGAGGCTGGACATTAGGGAGATTTTTTTTTCTTCTGTCGTAGACTCATTAAGACCTTATAAAGAGGGAGAGAGAGAGTTCCATCCAATTTAGTAGAGGGAGGACCCAGAGTTGATACAAATCAGAGATCCTTAAAGCTCACATTTGTATGTTTTTTTTTTTTGTTCAGTCATTTCAGTTATATATGACTTTGTGACCCCATTTGGGGTTTTCTTGGCAAAGATATTGGAGTGGTTTGCCATTTTTTTTCCAACTCATTTTGCAGATGAAGGATTTCAAACTAGTTTGTGACTTGCCCAGGGTCACACAGCTAGTAAGTGTCTGAGACCAGATTTGAACTCAGGAAGATGAGTCAATCCAGCTGCCACATTTGTATAGTGCTTTACAATTTACAAAAGGCGATCTTTGTGAGGCAGAAAGTGCAATATTTTTATCCTAACCCTTTCTTCCTGGGCAATCTCTTCCCTTGGTTTCTGTGACACTACTTTCTCTTAGTTCTCCTCCTTTTTCTCAGCCTCCCTTGCTGAGTTTTCATTTAACCCCTGCCTTCTTAGCACAAGTGCTCCACAGGGCTCTGGCTTCCACTGTCTTCTCTTCCCTCTCTGTACATACAAACTCCCATGAGTTCAAGTATCATCTTTTTGCAGATGACTCCTAAATCTAATCTAGCCTGCAACTCTCTCTTGAACTCTAGTCATGCATCATAGAATACTTTCTCAGTATCTCTTCCTGGACATCCCAATAGCATCTTAGACTCAACTTATTTAAAATGGCACTATCTTTCCCTGCAAACCTATTCCTCTTTCATACTTCCCTATTTTGATTGAGGGAACCACCCAGTCACCCAGTTTAATGACCCTAGAAAATCTGTCTTCCTCATTACCCATATTCAATAAGTTGATAAGTCTGGTCAATTCTTTTTCCATTATATTTCTTGCATATATCCCTTTTTTTTTTCTCCAGTCGCATAACTACTACCCTAGTTCAGGCACCTATCACCTTTTGTTTATATGACTGAAGTAGCTTCCTAATTGATTTTCCTATTTTCAATCTCTTCTTTTCTAATCCATCCTCTACTTAATTGCCAAAATTATCTTTCTAGGCACAGATTTGATAACATCATTACCTTTACTCAAAAAGCCTCAGTAGCTTCCCATTTCCAATAGAATAAGATGCATTCTCCCAAGCATGATATCTAAAGGCCTCCAGAATTTGGCTTCCATTTCTCTTTGTAGCCATTTTTATATGTTTCCCTTTTGTGAATTCTACTTTCTAGCCAAATGCACCTAGAATACATCCTTCTCTTCTCTACCAGACTTACTAGGCAGGCCACCTTACTAGTCCAGAGACTTCTGAGAATTTTCCATTTGACTGTATGTACTCCAGACTTCTTCCACTATGCCCCAGAATCCTCTTTGTCCTGGAATCTCAGTCAGCACTGGAATTCACATGTTGGAGGTACCCTCTGGCTCTGTGGCCTCTCCTACTGATTGAATGACTCTTCCCAGAGCCCCTATTTAAGGAGGGCATCCAGGCAGGCCAGGTTTTGTTTCTCTCCAAGTACCTTCCAGACTTTTTTCTCCTCCAGCTTATCAGCTTCCTTTTATGTGTTGTCTTTCTCTGTTAGAACTTAAGCTCCTTGAGGGCAGGGACTGTCTTTCTACTTGTATTTTTATTCCCAGTACAGTGCCTAGCACATAGGTAAGA